TCTCCATATATGAGAAAAATTGTTCTGCCGTTTCCTGTTTTTAACTATCGAAACATGTGACTATCTGTTAAGTATATCATCGTATAGATATTTTAAGGTCATGTAATATCGACGATAAAGACTTAAGGATCATTTCAAACCTCTACCAAGAACAAAAGGCTAAAATCAGAATAAAAAGCGAAACATCTGGAAAAATCAATATCGAGAAGGGAGTAAGACAGGGATGTGTCCTATCACCTTTGCTGTTCAATGTTTACTCTGAGAAGATATTTCAGAAAGCTTTGGAAGGCACCTCGGATGGTATAATTATAAACAGGCAATGTATAAATAACCTGCTATATGCTGATGACACTGCCATACTGGCAGATAATGCTGAAACCCTGCAACACTTAATGGACCGAGTAACGACAGCCTGTAGAGAATTTGGAATGAAATTGAATACAAAGAAGACAAAAACGATGGTCATCAGCAAGCACCAAAACAGAAGGGTTAAGATCAATGTCGACGGAACAGATCTGGAAAGAGTAACAAGAACAACGTACCTTGGAAGTAATCTTGATGAAACTTGGGACCACTCACTAGAGATAAGAATACGCCTGGAAAAGGCACGTACAATGTTTTACAAAATGCAAAAACTTCTATGGAATCGCCAGCTGGGCATCTCATTGAGAAATAGAATACTTAAGTGCTATGTATTCTCCACCTTGCTCTGTGGTGTTGAAGCCTGGGCAATGACAGAAGCAACACAAAAAAGAATCCAAGCATTCGAACTCTGGTGTTACCGTAAATGCTCAAAATATCCTACATGAGCCACACGACAAATGCGGAAGTCTTGCGGAGGATGAATAAGGAAAGAGAGCTTATGCTTATAATAAAAGAACGGAAAACACAATATTTTGGTCACATCATAAGAAATCAAAAGTATGAACTGCTCCAACTTATAATCGAAGGCAAAGTCAATAGTCAAAGAGGACCAGGAAGAAGACGCAACTCTTGGCTTAAAAACCTACGGCAATGGACGAACATGACCTCCATAGAACTATTCAGGGCTGCTACAAATAATATTAAATGGGCAAATGTAATGGCCAACGTCCTTAAGGATAAGGCACCGTAAGAAGAAGATATCGTAAGTATGAGGTACTGAAGAAAATGTCCTTGAAATGGAAATCAAGATGTCAAAAGTAAAATGGGATATCATTGGAGTCAGTGAAGTAAGGCGACATGAAGAAAACCTGTCAACACTAAAATCAGGGCATATATTTTACAGTATAGATAGTGAAACCGAATTAATCGAGGAGTCGGTTTCTTTATACACAAAAGACTTGCAGATAACATAGTAATTACAAGCAGCATATTCACAAGAGCATATTCACTATTTAATTGTAAAGCTAAACCGAAGGTATAAAATAAAGATTATTCAAGTATATGCTTCTACAACGGACCATTCAGATGAGCAGATAGAAGAATTCTACGATGATATCTCAACGACACTGAAACTGAAGGAAACACCAATACACTACACGATTATATGCGGCGCAAAGATCGGTCTAAAACAGGATGAACAGAAAACAGCACTAGGTAATTTTGGATTCAAAGGCAGAAGCGAGCGTGGGAAAACACTACTTCTTCTTCTTCAAGTTCCACTCCTATCGGAGATTGGAAATCATTCTGGCAATTATAATTTTATTGGTTACTCGCCTGAATAGTTCAATTGAACTGCATCCAAACCTAAAGTCATGAATGGCAAATGACAAGTAGAGTAAATAAAACACTACTAGACTATTACAACAAAATCTATACTAGATGCGTACTTTCTTCTCTAAAAAAGACCAAAGAAGGTAAACGTGGAAAAGTTCAGATGGCAAGATCAGAAACGAAGTAGACTACATAATCAGTGACGAAAAACATATATTCAAAGATGTCACAGTCCTTAATAGCTTTACCACAGGCAGCGATCATAGAATGGTAAGAGCCAAACTAAAATTTGACTTAATATCAGAAAGATCCAAAATGATTAGGAAGAAAGCCCAACCGATATAGAAGAACTTATCCAATTTAAATGAATACCAAGACAATATCAATAAAATCCTACAACAAAATGAATGCATAAATAATGTAAATACCCTAAATGAAAATATCGTAGAAGCTATTCAAGAGGCTCAAGTAAAATGATGCCCTAAAAGACGCCAAGACGAAAAAATAACCATTAAAATAAAGCAACTAATGGATACTAGAAGACAAATCAAAGGAAACGAAAGCATTGACAAAGAAAAACTACTAAAAATAAATAAAGAAGTATCCAAAGCTGTAAGGAAAGATTTAAGGGAATTTAAGAATGAAAAGTCCACCGAACTTTAGAAGAGAATAAAAGTCTGAAAGTCCTGAGAACGCGGCTAAACAATGGAAAATGTGAAATACACAAACTAAAGAACAAAGAAGGAGTCCCCATATCAAATAGAGAAGAACTTCTACATATAGTTGAAGACTTCTATCAAGAACTATACACAAGTCAAAGAGAAGACCAAACGAACTTGGAATCCGCCGCATCACGCAAAATCAGAGCTCATGCCAGAGATCACAATAAGCGAAATCCAAGACGCAATGAAAAAGATGAAAAACAACAAAGCACCAGGAGAAGATGGAGTCGTAATAGAAGCTATAAAGATGCGCAGACGTGCCCTTCTCAACCAAATAACAATTTTGTTTAACCTTTGTCTAATATATTGTTGCATAGCGGAAACATGGAACAATGCAGTAAAAATGTTATTACACAAAAAAAGAGACAAGGCGCACCTAGAAAACTATAGACCAATTAGCTTATTGAACCACATCTATAAAATGTTTACCCGAATAATTACGACAAGACTAGAGAAAAAGTTAGATTTCTACCAGCCCCGAGAACAAGCTGGCTTCCGCTCAAAATTCGGAACAAACGATCACCTACAAACAGTAAAAACCTTAATACAAAAGTCTCTAGAATATAACAGACCACTGGTAACTATCTTCGTAGACTTTCGCAAAGCCTTCGACACTGTGGAATTAGACAGCATTATAACTGCTCTGAACAATAGTAGAGTAGGTTACCGGCTTACAAAGTTAGTACAAACATTATATCAAAACGCCACAATGCGTGTAAAACTACATAATACCACCAGAGAAATTCATATCAAGCGAGGTGTTAGACAGGGCGACACTCTCTCACCTAAATTATTTATAACGGTCCCTGAATACCCCTTTAAAATGCTAAAGTGGGAAAATAGAAGAATAAAAATAGGTGGAGAAATGCTCAATCATCTTCGTTTTGCCGACGACATAGTACTTATTACCGAAGATCTGGGTGAAGCACAACAAATGCAACAAGAATTAGAAAACGTATCTTCAACAATAGGTCTAAAAATCAATTTAAATAAGACACAATTTATGACAAATTTGGTTCCCAGCGAACACCTAACCATCCAAAATCAAGTGGTAGAATTGACAGAAAAATACATATATCTCAGTCATGAAATCAGAATAAGCATGGATAATCAGACCCTCGAATTTCACGACGAATAACATCCCGATGTTATTCTTCGAGCAACATTCCGATAGCTATGAAACGGAAGACATTTGACTTAAAAATGCGAGTGGCACAAAGGCGCATGGAAAGATCGATTCTCGGCGTGACAAAAAAAGAAAAAATAAGGAAAAAAGACCTAAGAACTTACTGACTTACTAAAGACTAAGGACAACAGGTATCACTGATGTCGTCGAACGTATAGCCAAGCTGAAATGGAATTGGGCAGATCACATCGTGAAACTAAAAGACTCAAGATGGACCAGAAAACTAATTGACTGGCGCCCAAGAGAAGACAAATGCAGCAGAGCCACAAACACGCTGGATGGACGACATTAAACGAATATCCAAGAAATGGCAACAAGACGCTCAGATTCGTGAAGAGTGGTGAAAAATGGGAGAGACCTATATCCAGCAGTGGACAGAAGAGGTTGCATGATGATGATGATGATTGAGGAATTTAATAGTTGTATTATAAAATAAAAATATAAAATTTTGCCAGTACGGTCCCGATGATAGCATAGAATATAATTTACTAATTTCATGTATTTAAGTGTCTTGCTGCAACCTATTATAAAGACATGAAGGTGATATAAATATAATTATCAAAATTCATTTTAAAATATTGAAATAAAATAGTTTGTATATCATAAAGGATCAATATTTTGTTTACAAATAAATATCTTTTATAAGATTCATTTGTCTAAATCGTCATATTTTGACTTCAAAATTGTACACTTAAAAAAATTAACACGTTTTAATGAAACATTCTGAATATTAATGTATGTTACTATATTCAGTTAACACCTTGACTGCGTCACGTATCCCCAGGGCCCAGGGCCATGTGCGTAATTTTTCAACGGTGCTATAGGAAAATTGGTCAAACCGTCACATCTTGCAGTAGCTATAAAAATGGTATTTCTACATCGTTTTAAGTGTAACAAGTAGCTATCGATAGCAAATTTTTCATTGTCGCTGCTGATGTTGGTAATATGAGACATGCTTCTGGAGGCATGTGTCGTTGTCATTCGTTTTAACTTGTTGGTGCTTGTGGCTCTATATATTCAGTTTCAGTGTAGTTCATTGTAGTGTGAGCAGTACTTGTTAAAATGTCGAAAAGGGCAAGATAATGGTTGATATAGTGAAACAAAAGGTGATAGAAGTTGCAAATGAGCAAACAATCAGTGATCATAAAAACTTTGGAGAGAGTTCTGAAACAAATACTATTTTAAATGAATTACATGAGAATACAGGGTTGATTGAAAGTCATGAAAATTTAATAATGAAAACGAACAACAGTTTATACGAACAGAAATAGAACACGAAATGGATAACGAACAGGCTGATGAACTCGATATGGGGAATGAGCAGACAGCAACTCATCAATCTTCATCTGATGCCGACAGTATCGAAGATCCCTTTGACAGTAACGATTAATTGCCAGATAAAAGTTATTTTCCTAAATCTTCTTCATCCTCCGATTTAAATTCTTCTATTGATAGTAGTGACGAAATTATTACCACACCATATGAGCAAGTTCCATCAGATAATAATGAACAGAGTGCTGAGAATAGTAATAGTGATGAATGGTGTGATTTAGAAGAAGATGTAGATGGTGACGATTTTGTATTAACCAAGAATACATTAGTTGGTATTCAGCCACATGCGGTACAGAAACCAATAGACGTTTTTGGCCATTTCGTAATTGATGAAATATTGGATATTATTGTTAATGAAACCAACATTTATGCTGTTCAACAAGTATGCGACACTTACGAAAATCCAGGTTAAATTTATGGACAGTCACAAACAAAACTGGGGGTAATAATCGCAATGGGTTTCACTCATGTACCACAATTAAATTTATGTTGGTCTAAAGATGATATATTTTATAATAAATTTATCGCAAAAGTTTTAATTCGAGACCGCTTTTTGCTTTTATTGAAACTTCTTTATTTGAAAATAATGAGACATCTGATACCACTAATAGATTATGCAAAATAAAAAATTTAGTTACGAAATTGATTAAAAATTTTCAAAGAATAATGGAGCCTGGCAACATTCTCGTTATAGATGAATCTATGGTACCTTTCAAAGGGAGACTCCATTTTCGTCAGTACATCACCAACAAGATTAATAAATATGGAGTAAAACTATACAATCTCTGTTCTCCTGAAGGTACTACTTTCAATGTATTTACACAGGAAAAAATGAACAACAACCAGTTAATGTAACCCACTCTGAAGCAGTTGTTCTAAAATTACTTCGGTATAGTATTTGATATGATACTCGGAACAGATATTGTTAATAGATTAATGATATTCAATATGTGCTCTGAAACAAAAATGAGCATTACAGAATTTAGACGTCAGTTAGCTTATAATTTAATACCTGAAGAAAAACCACTTCAAAACCAAACCTGAAAGGAAACGACTAAAGCCATGTAGAGACAAGTATTAAAATCTTCGGGTTTAAGTTACCGTGAAGTGGATAAAAAAGTTCGTAGGATTATAACTTTTTCTTCCCTTTGCCTGGTCAACTTGGATACTGTCTGCCTTGTTTTAATAAGGCACATAATTAATAAGAAGAAGCAGAAATTACCAATCAATTTATAAATGCGTTTGCTCTGTTTATTTTAATATAAAGTATTTTATTTTTATAAACACCTTTAATTTTATCCAATTACCTCCAAGAGAAAATTTGTTTAGATGTCTGTGCTACACCGAATGTTGGCGGCATGTCCTGTTTGAGAAGAAATTAGATTAATACTTCTATAATAGTTTTCTGTATGTAATATATGCAAAAGTTCTGTGTATTCGATGGCATGAAGTATTTACATGTACACACATGCCATAGGGAGCATGTGATGCACAGATAGAATAGACCATAACGTGTCTCCGGGGCATGTGACGCAAGAACTAGTATATTAAGTATTTAACCGCCACAGTCAAGGTGTTAAGCAATATATATATATATATATATATATATATATATATATATATATATATATATATATATATATATTTTTGATCATGAAGCCTGCAAGTAAAATAACACATATTCGTTATTCCCCATCCTGTATAAACTTTTGTTTGATATTTTGATATCTAGTACAGAAAATATCTGGAAACACTAATATGTTTTGATACATTGTTTTTAATTCATATTTACACTTATTGGTTTTTTAAGGTGTGATCTATGTTCGGAATTGTTGGCATTGCATGAGAATTAATCAAACATTATGTTTCAGCTTCATTTATCGATATCACATATCTCTCCAAATTTATATTACATAAACCTAACGATATCAAATTTTAACAAAGCTATATTAGAAAAAGGTCTTAATGACAACTTTGAAGTTCAACATGATTTTTAGAATATATAAAATTCAGTTATATAATGAAAATGATTAAAACCTTGAAAAAATATGGGTTTTGTGTGGATTTAAAGGTGTTTCGTCCAATTTTTGAATATCCTAAAAGATTCAGCTATTTCAAATTATATATAACGTATAAAAAACCTTGATTTGATCTATGTTGAAGTGTATGAAATGAAGAAAATTCCTAAAAAAAACCCCAAAGAAACAGTTTTTCCACCACCAAAAAACAATGACATATCAACTTTCTTCGAGCATATAATGACAAATAACTTTAGTTATACATTTTCGCAGAATTTTTTTTTATAATAATCTTTTTTGAGAACGATTTCTGGAATCCAAGTCAAAATATTAAACACAAGTTAGTTAAAAATGTGATTTTTATTATAACCAATAATTGTGCATTAATCCCATATAAACATGATATTCAGAACTTTTTTATCAAAAAGTTCTGAACAACGAGCACTGTAGTCCAGTCGTCAGAGAGTTGGCCCTTAAGAATCATACGAACAAGCTGAACTTTGCAGAGAATATTAATTTTGCGAAAAAAATGTTTTAAATAAAAAATGTAGCTGAGAGAATTTTAAACAAAAATGTTTATAAGCATTTATTGGGTGGAATGAACCGTTCTCTTAGAAACAACACTTGAAGCGACCGTCGATTTTTCATGTCAGTACGCAAGCGAAATCAATGTTCAATTAAATTTGTATCAGCTGGACGGTAAAAATTCAATATCTTTTGATCCAAATGTCCTGTCGAGAAAAATCAAGATGCGTTTTAAAGGTAAAGAGTGTAACTTTCGTATGCAATTTTTGTATTTTGCCGAGAAAATAAACTGAGTTTTTATAAAGGTGTTAAATAAATTAACATGGCGCGATTTTTGCAATTTTTTACGGTTCTCGTGAGATCAATAAAATTGATCACTTTCATTGACCAGTTGTAGTAAAATTTCCATTTTTAAAGAGCGCCCTTAAAACCTGTGACATGAAATTTTAATTTTGGGTTGTGGTAACAAATATGAGCCATTTGAAATATGAATAAATAACGCAGAATTTAATGTTTTTACATTACAAACGATCACACGCTACGGGAAATGCATTTAAGAAGACTGTTTTGGGTGTAGATTATTGCAGAAGTTTTGGTTCTTTTGAAAAACTTACTAGTGTAATTGAAAAAAAAAGTTTTAAAAGTTTTAGATCGTTTGTTGTGTGAAAGTTTAAATCCAACGTTTTTTTAAGCATATTTCAAATGCCTCACATTTGTTGTCAAAACTCAAAACTAAAATTTAATGCTAATTTTAAAGGTTAGGCTCTAGTTATCTAAACTTTATAGTGGCAAGTCAGTGAAAGGGATAGATTGTATTGATCTCGTGTGAATCATAAAAAATGGCAAAAATCGCCCCACGTTTATTTATTGAACACCTGTATAAAATGTGAGTTTATTTGCGGCAAAATACAAAACTTGCATACCAAAGCTTAACTCTTTAACTTTAAGATGCATCTTGATTTTTGGCGATAGGTCACTTGAATCAAAAGATATCGAATTTTTACCGTCGAGCTGATACGCATTTTATTAAACATGGATTTCGCGCGCGTAACTGACATGTAAAATCGACGATTGCTTCAAGTGTTGTTTCTAAGAAAACGGTTCATTCTACACAAAAATACTTATAAACATTTTTGTTTAAAATTATCTCAGCTAAATTTTTTATTTGACACATTTTTTTCTAGGATGTACAGATACTTGTTAAATCGATTTTTTTGCGTTTTTACTCCCGTGGGAGGAGGCTTTTAGGAGGAAACCAGGAGGTAAAACTGGTAAACTTTTTAGCATCTTTTTGGAGTTCCAAAGTTAATATTTTCTAATATTACTAATAGTAATATTAATATTTATATTACTATTACTACTTAGCACAAAATTTGATATCGATTATATTTTGATTTTGTTTTATTCAAATATTTTAACAACATTACTAACATACATGATTTTAGAATATTTGGAACTATCGTTTTTGATTGAAGTTACAACATATACGAAAATGTCGTCTTTATTTGGGTTTTTATTTATATAATATGTTAAATATGCATACTTTTTCTTGTACTAATTATATCAATAAGATTAACTATTACGATTACAAAGCACATCATGGCAACTTTTTTCAAAAGTTGATAAAGAATTATTAGACAAGATAGGGCACTACGTCTTACTAAGGTCCAGGAATTAAAAATAAAAGCTTTTATTATACTTGTATAATAAGATCAGGACAAAACATTTGCCGAACTTATACCTAAATAATACTAAGCATAATCTAATAAATTCTTTATTTATTGATCATAGTCGGATCGATTTTAATCCATTATGGATGAAGATTAGTCTTTAACGTATGCATATTTAACACATTGCATGATAATGTACATACCTGGTGGAACATTTGGGTTATGGTTGGTTACAGTGGGCTTGGTGAGCGGAGCTGAAGAGATGCGTGCAGAAGTGGCACGTCGCCTAGCCGTACCACAACATCATTCATCCCAGGTTGCCCTAGGAGACGCCGAAGATAGCCCTTTACAATCTTCAAAGAGATCTAGTACGTTTTTCATACGGTGTAGAAGGGTAGATATAGCATGGCTAAAATAAAAGGCATGGAAATGTTTTTGAAACTATTTCTGAAGTTGGTGAAACATAAAAGGTTATATGTATAAATAATAGTATCATTCATAGGTCATCGTTAACGATAACTTTCCCTATGAGGAGTGAGATTTCCTAATTACATTTATCTACTAAATCTTATATTTTTTTCTTCAACAGTCTGTCTTTTCAAGTTTTACCTTAAATATTTTTCAGTATTTTTTACTAAAATTATATCATCAGCATACATGCCTCTTTGAAAATTGACCACTAGTACAAAATATTATTTTTGTAATACTCTTTGACCGCCAGACTAAATTAGAACACTTTATTCAAGATATAAAAAGTCCGTTCCCACTTTTTATCTTTTGAACGGTTATACTATAATAGTGAAATTTGGAGGAAGGTAATAAACAGACGTAAGCTTCTTAATTAGCCATAACAAGGGACGTAATAGTGACAGATGAAGTTACAGCGCCACTGTGACAGATAATTTTAAATAGGACCTTATGGCAAGTGATATCTCGTTTGAAATACGTTTACTCAGTGACAATAAAAAATGACTTAAAAATAATTCATTGTAATGTTAGCAGTATAGGTAAGAATTTTGATAATTTTTGTTTGTTTTTGTCAACTCTAAATGTCAACTTTGATATTTTAGTTCTTTCGGAGACACACATTCAAGATGATATTGATAAAACCCCATTTTTGTTAAAAAATTACGATTTATTATACAATTATGGCGATTTAAACAAAAATGATGGAGTTATTATTTACATTAAATC